TTATAGTAGTCGTTCTCTGCTGCAGATCAGTGTGCTTCGTCTGCTGCAATCTCTAGTCAAGATGTGCCCACTAAATGAGAGGAGCGTCTACATGCATACTGTATGAGAGGATGAAATGGGTTTCAGTATGCAACACCTCTACTGCACAGACAGATCCAACAATTGGCCGCTGCCTATAGTTCAACCAAAGGTAAAGAAGTCAACATGTAGCCTCTCTCGTGTTTCTGTGAATGACCACGAGTGTCTCAATCGATCGCTCTGTGGTTTTGAGACAAAGCATCTGCTGTGCATTTGTACGGAGGCGCGGCTGCAAAGAGAAAAACAGTGACCACATGTGTGTTTTCTGTGAGAATACTTGATCTAATGGTACTTTCCTACCAGAGGTGTTACCTGCTGCAGTGTCGACAGGATGTGGTCGTGCAAAGTGACTCAAAACGAGGGAGGGGGCAGATTGAGGAGGATCTTCTCTAACAAGCTTTGTTGTAATTTCGTGTTGCTGTGATGTTCTTTCCCCGTGTTCCCTGGCTTACTGGCGCTGAAAGCTGTTGCATGAAGCGTGACGAATAAATAGCATTGCCTGACGAGATGAATGCAGTTTGCTATTTTGAGGGGAAACAGCCAAGTCATAACACAAATGAAATTCCAATTGAACGCAGATGTGAGAGAAAACGTAATGGCAGTTGATGATTCCTTCAGTAGTGACTGATTTTTCATTAGCTGAACACCTCTAGGTTTGCCATCTGGCCTCATTAGTTTTGCTGTTTAATATTGATTTTTCTGTATTCGTCGCAGTAATAGAGAATACAGCATAGAGGGAGACTTTGGATTTGAATCAGGCTCGCATTACAAAAATGAAGACTTGAGACTTTACATGTAATTTATGAACCTGAAGACGCGATTCAAACTTTTTTGTATTTTCACTCTTTTCACTTAAGCCTCACATTTGGACATGTTAAATTTTGATTTTCGAAGACAGCAATAAGAAGACTTTGCTTTGAACTGGGGCCACTGCAAAAAAATCTGTTATTCTGTTGATTATTTTTCTTATAAATAATATAAAACTGAGAAACCCAGCAAAGCCTCACATTTCTGCATGTTTGGCATTTTTGCTTGATAAATGAATTGACTATTAAAGGAGCTTTATGTAGGTTTTTCCATTACTATAAAGTCAATGTTAGCATTAACAGCGGTTTACTTTCATGTCTAGAAGAAATGGAAAACAACCCACTTATTTTTCTACTGAAGTTAGCATGCTAACCAGCTAATCCAGGCCCACCATGTCACTTTCCGATACCGAGTCACTGTAGCGTCCAGTCTGCTCTGAAGAGGTAGCGCTGCTCAGAGGACGTATTATAACCTCTTGTCTTGTACACGCAACAATGGCCGAAGCGCTCGGGCAAAACTGGTAAGTACACAGCTGTTAATGCTAACATTGGCTATGTAGCAATAGCAAAACTTACAAAAAGCTCCTTTAAAACAGTTATTCAGTATTCAGTTATTAGTCCTGTGCATGGAAGGAAAGCTGAAAGTGAAATGCTTCATCATGCTGGTCATGATTCAGAGACATGAAAGACTTTCATCTTGACTTGCAGATTGCTTTGTGGAGACCTGAGACTTGACTTGGACTCTCCCTTCAGGACTTAAAACTTGACATGCGACTTGCTCTGACACTTGATTGGAACTGTCCTCCATCCATGGGATTGAGGAGGGCACTTCAGTCAGAGGGGAATCTTCAATGGTCACAAAGGTCAATTGTCGAAGCCCCCTGGTGCTGTGGGAACATCTGCTTTCTTTGCTCTGACATGACAAGATTCTTTATATAGCAGGATACCAGTGAAGGGCACATACAAGCGAATTTTTGCTCGTACAGACCATGGGAATCAATGTGAGGTCCAATAAAACTAAAAAAGCGGCTGCTCTGGCTGCCTTCTCTCTAGTCGAGCCCTCCCTGCTGAGTCACATTATTCAGACCAGACGGAGATTAGTGATTTTAAATGGCTGCCATTTTACATAATGTCGGTCTACATTTACAAAAAGGCCCATGACTCCTCCATGCTGTGTGAGGTAATATTAAAAGTATGAATACAAACGGAGCTAGCCAGAATACATATTTTATTAGGCAGAGAAAATACTGTTCAGAAGAAGAGAAACACCAAAAATAAACTTCTGTCATACATCGATTCCTCTCACACGGCGTAGGAAGGTCACTAGTACATCAAAGAGAAACAAACATTGCCAATCTACATGTGGACAACCTCCATGAAGAGGTCAGATGGATACTCGTAGCACAGTCAGAAGCACGGCACGGCTCAGGTGTCATTAAAGCAGAGCATGATGGCCTTCGGTAAGCACATCTGAGGCAGCTCTTGATTCTCCGCAAAATGAAAACACAAGAGAGACGAGAGAGGCAGGTGGCACTGTAGTGTGGGGAGTTCTTTTCGCTTCTCTCGTGGCGGGCAGATCAGCAAACATGAGGTGTCAACATGGATAACGTCAGCCAAAAAAAAGGTGGTAAATACATAAAAGAAGACCGGTCCTCTGAATAAAGAGGAAGATGAGCTTGAAGAGGGGCCTTGGCACAGAGTGCAGCCTCAGCCGAGTGATTAAAATCTCCTTGAAAGAGGCAGAGAGGGAAGGCAGCTGGGGTCGGCTTTTGGCAGCGTCTTCTGACCAGAGCTCGGTGGACCGGTTTGGGGGAAGATAGGACTCCCCCACCCCCCCACCCCCACCCCTCCCCACACACACACACACACACACACACACACACACGTGAAACTGGAGCCGTGACAAGGCAGAAAAACCCCGCTTCGACTCCTAACACACATACATGCACACGAAAAAGCACACACACACACACACACACATCCAGCCCCTTCAGACTTTCAACGTGACACAATCAGACTAGTACACAAACATGCAGACTTATACAAAGGCAGAACTTTACAAAGTCATGCAGATGGAATGTTTTGATATTCCTGTAGCTGAGTCTGACTCAAATATGTTTGGCTGGCTGACCTGAAGTCTATTTTTATTGGAGGGGATTTATAGGGAACTACTGCGATTCAGTCTGACAGACTTGTGCGTGTGCTCCCGGAAAATGTAACCACATCAGTCTCTTTGATAAGGAAAGAAAGAGCTAAAAGGGGCTCCACAAAGCTGAATATAAGTACCTCAGAAACTCTTTTTAAAATTCTCGATGAGAACCGGTCCTTGTTTCTTAAAGGAGGTAGCCTGATCCACACCTAATTACACAAGCCTTCAAAAAAAAAAAAAAAAAACGTGCAAGACTTCAGAGGAATTTCCTTTGAACACACTAGCCAGGGCATCCTGAGAACCGTCACTTTTTAAGATGAGTTATGCTGATTCTTAAAGGAAATGACATTTGACATTTCGGGAAAATTCGCTTATTCACATTCGTGTATGTTGATCTCGAGAAGATTGATACCACTTTCACAAATGTCTGGTGAATATGATGTTACAGCCAGCAACCGTCAGGGAAACAGCGACTCCGGCTCTGCACAACGGTAACACAATAATCTACAATCTCACTTATTATAGCTGTGTCCTCATTCAGCGGCCGCATCATTCAGAGGCTGCATTTGAAGACGGGTTGTGTCTCAAGCGGCGCGACCGGACCGGACTCATTTCGGTTCGGCCTTCGCTGTCTACGCAGGCCCTTTGTAGCCGTCGAGGGATGCGGCCCCTGAACTGGGACACAGCTTATGTCTTGTTTTATTTAAATCAAGTGACTCCATACGAGGAGTGTTTGTACCGCGGAGGGGGGGGGGGGATACTTCAGCTGTTGCCAGTGGTTAAGTGGTAAGACCACAGAGTGGCTAAACTAACTAAATGTAATGGATAAACAGTTTAAATATTTGGGTAAAAGTATCGGGAAAGGTGTTGAAATTGTTAGGTAGAACTTAGGTAGAAATTTCCAGCTTCAGTTACTTCAAGTAGAAGAAATACGAATGGAAACTTCACCAAACTGACCTAAACATTAGTTCAACTGTATGAAAAACATTGTCGCTGTTTGTCAGTGTTAAATGACATTTAGAACATGATGATTGGTGGTGTTGATGAAGGCGTACTTGCTCATCTCATTGGGCTGTGGGAGTATGTCAGACAAAAAAAAAAAAGGTTTGGGAACCACCGTTTTAATCAGGAGAAACACTGAAATGGAAAAATGTCAAGTTGCGGTTTTATAGGCCTTACTTTGCAGGACTGTTTCTCTGCCTGGAGCAGTGACTTCCTGTTCTGTAAAACCACAAGTTGGCACTTTTACAGATTGTACAGATTAAACAAACAAGATGTAACATGTTCATTAGCGAGCTGCTGGCAGGCAGATATTGTTCCTATCAGACAGCACCAGGTGATCCGTTTAACCCCTGTGGTACCGTCTTCATGCTAAGCTAAGCTAACTGGCCGCTGGCTGTAGCTTCACATTTACCTCGCACATGAAAGTGGTACCGACCTCATTTAACTTTCGGCAAGAAAATAAACAAGCAAATGTCCCAAAATATTGAACTAATCCTTTAACAACATCTAAACTGAAATGATTTAGTTTTACAATAACACTTGTGATTTAAAGATTTTTTTTTTTTTTTTTTTTACAGCCAAATCACAAAATATTCCACTAATGTCCACTTCATATAATTATATAATGGTTTTCCCTTTCAGAGAGCATCAGTGCACCCAGGCAGCTCAACAGAGGAAGTGGTTTGAATATACAATATAATCATAAAGAATGATTAGACTCTCAGAGATCGGATTGTCTCGTAACTGGTAATCATCCGCTCTGGAAAGTAGACTAATTTAATATAAGAGATAATCATGGTGAATGTCTTAATTCTACAAACACAATGATGTAAACTCAAGAACGACGGTGGCGAATGCTCGTCCATGTTCTGGCAGTGTGAGACATTGTGATCGGATGGTCCAGACACAAACGGCATCGCGCCACTTTGCTGCAGCCGGTCGGGATTAGAGGAAAACGATCGTCGCCGCGTCAGGCTCACAGGTTCTCGTTGGTGTCATGGTGGCACTGGCTGTCGGTCGAAGGGTTCAGGAAGGGCAGCTCCTCGCCGCAGCCCTGCAGCTTCAGGACGCGACTGCTCAGGTCCAAGCAGCACTGTGAGACGACACACATCATTACTGCACTAGATAATTAATTACAGCTTCCCAACCTTACATACATATTTTCTTATTAATAATACTGCTGGCCAAATGAAACAAACTCTTTAGCTTTTTAGACATCACCTTGGGCAACTTTAACCTTTTTTTCTGGCATTTTATAAACCAAACAATTAACCAATTAATCAAATAGCCAACATTAAGTAATGATAATTGTTTTTTGCACTTCCAGCCTAACCGTCACACCTGCATACTTCTTAGATCTGCCTGAATCTGTGCTTTCACGTAGAGGAAGTCATGTGATCAAATGTTAATATGATCATTTCCACTGAAGCAGCTTTAAGTTGCAAATAATAACAAATGAAACATTCGAGGTTGTTAATTATTTACATTCCTCTGACAAACTTTAAAATGTAAAATACAACTTTACACTATGAAATGAAAACACTTGATCCAAAATAATGTTTTATATCCAAATTAATTATCTTGCTGCATAAATAGAATTATTAATTAATGATTAATGTTTACGACTATCTTTATATAGTACTAATATCTTTTAGCAGTCAGCCAGAAGAAATGAACAATAACTTATGCTCCATTCCCTGTGTTAAACAACATGTCAATAAACCCTATCACGGTGTATGGCATTGATTATAATCCATTACAATGTTGTTTATGAAATTTTACTGTGTAAGCTAAGTATAGGAGGGAGCTTGGGAGGGAAAATGTTCATCTTACGTTACAAAATACCTTGAAGCCTAATTTACAAAATTATAGCTCAGGTTTATTTCACACCCTCCAGTCTCACTCTAATTAGCATTAGTAACACTGGAATAAGTGAGAGCACTGCCTCCAGATGGCCAGATAGTCTTTTTCATGGGATTTAAATTGCATTTCTCAAATGTGCAAATTCAAAATTTCACATCACAGGATGTCCTCACTTCCTCCTTATCTGGGTTTTACCTGCACAGCGGGCAGCAGATCGAAAATAGCACTGCGCAGCCTTTCCCCCCAGATATAGCACCACATACACTACATCTCTTTCTAAGAATTTGTGCTTGTGCATTTCATTTTCTCCTCCTTCCCTTTCGCTCATTTAAAGCCACGTGATCATTTGAAGGGTAGCTGCTCGAAAAAACATCTGACAAAATATTAGCAAAGCAAATGAGAAACTTACTTTGAGTTCCAACAGAGTCTGAAGACCCAGGCACAGCTCAAACGCCTCATCCTCTGCAAGTGCAAAAACAGGAAAGATAAGGGCAGAGGAAAAGGAGAGAAATAAACTGAATTTTATAACTGCTTTAGGAAAACCAGTCCGATTCCCATTCCTCCTCAGCTGAACGTGCATACATTAACCTCGATCCGGGTTAAATCATCCACACAACTAAATTATTCCCTCTTATATTAATGAGCGCCGATAAGCACACGAGCTTGTGAGGGTGGGTGTGAGTGAGAGTTTCGGAGCTGAGTGAGAATTTAATGTCCATGAAAGAGTCGGGCGCTGGGCTTAAGGGCTGAATCAGAGTCATCATTTATTGCTGAGGAGAAGGTCCAGTCAGAAACTACAAGATGAATAATAGTGTGAGGTCTTGTTCTTTTTATCTCTGGTTGCACTGATTGTTCTCGTAACAGCCACCAGGATAAATCTTTGGAGAAGGGCATTTTTGACGATGTGATGGCACAATAATAATTTTTTGATTTAGTGTTTTTAATTTTATGGGATTAGATGAGAAGATGGATATCACTCTTATATAACTATTGCATATCAGTATAAAAACTATAAACATGGGGAAAGAGCTAGCCTGGATGTGTCCAACAGTAACAATCAGCACCTCTAAAGCTTCACTAATTAACACATTTTATCTGGTTTGTTTAACGCATATATTAACCAGAGTTTGTTGACAGTCTTTATGCTAAGCTAAGCTAATTGTAGGAACCAAAATGGTGCATATTAACTGTGTTGTTTATTCGTTTAGATTGCACACGTTAATTGGATTATCACTTCCGGCAGCGGACGCGAGTACAAACGCGTCGCAGTTAAGAGTCCACTTAGTCTCTTGCAGCTTTCTTCAATGGACAAACGTCTCCTGGCTGTAGCGTCGTATTTACAGGCCGGATGTCAGAGCGGCATCGATCTTCTCATCTCACTCTCAGCAAGGAAAACAAATAATGTAGAGCTATTTCTTTTAAAAATACATTGTCAGTCTTCAGTAACCCTAACTCCTAAACCCCCCTAACCCCAACCCTACATCACGGCAAACAGTATTATAACGATATTCATCAAACTTTATTGAAATACTTCTGTTGGAGATGAAAATAAAGAGCTGTAGACTCTTCTGTAAGACTGAAGTACCTCCAGTTACTTTGTGAGGATCAACAGAAGTCCAAGTCAGAGCTCTGAGCAGATGCCAGACAAACAAATGTTCCTGTAGCTGTAATGATGGAAGTATAACTGGCAAACTCTTGCAACTGACTACTACTATTAAACTGAACGACTTGCTACTGGCATTAGCAGACAACAATATCTCAACAACAACAACAACAGGATCTCTTGTGAATCGCTGATGTTAGATTCCCTGCCTGAATTATTATTCCAGTCTGGCCCTGACTAGCACTTCCCACTACCTCCCTCCTACCACTATCACTGTGTTGTGTTCATGGTTCTTACTGAAATCTGTGACGGTGATGACGATGTCTCACAATAATAAAACTGGTATACAGACGCATATCTAACTCTTTATTGTTAGCCTTCCCTGGGGGGGGGGGCTGGTACAGGAAGTGATATTTCTGACACATGAAGAAAACCAGAAACCCAAACACCAGTGAGCCTCAAATTCAAGTCAGAGAAAAAACTGAAAAACAGACCATATCAGTCAGTTGAAGGAAAGTGTCCTTAAAAGGAGAGCAACCCCTTTTCCTGACAAAAATAAACTCTGCTTTTCCCATGCAGTAGTGTAAGTAGTAGATAACTAGTAGTAGCAAAAAAAAGAAATGTGGCAAAAACAGACATTTATTTCACCGAAAATATTGCTTGATATTGCCATGACACACTCTTGTCGACCTGGCTGTCCTTTCACTAGACGCTGATTTCTGCTCGGATGCTTTAAGAGGACGAGAGTAGGGCGCACTGACTGAATGTTAAGCACCGACACGAGTACATATCCAATTCAAAATCTCCTGTAACAGAAAAGAGCACAGCAGGTGAACGCAGACTATTTTTCTGCAAGAGTCGCTGCTGCATTTATGTTCCTCGCCGGTGTCTTTTGACAGCGGAAAATCCCCCTTAAACGTTTGTGAGCAGCAGTGACCACTGAGGTAAAAACACACACAAACAGTTTTTAGTCATTCTAGCAGCAAATATCGGTCTAGCTCTACCATGCGGTTTAGATTTGTGTCTCACACAAACTATAAGATGGATCGCCATGAAATTTGGTAGAAATATTCATGGCGCCCAGAAGATAAATCCTCATGACTTTGATAATCCTCTGACTTTTAATTTAGCGGCAACTGCAGGTCGAAGTTTTCACTTACAGAGTGAAATATTGACCAGATAGATTGGCACAAAATCTACTGACTTACTGTTCTCTTGACTTTTTCCTTGGTTTTGTGTTAAATGTCTTATTGGAACGATTGCCATTACAGACATTAATGTCTTGGCGATCCCTTAACTTCTCATTTAGTGCTCTCATCCGGTCAGAATTTTAATTTCTCCAGTATTTTGGCGACAGTTTCCCTTCGACATACAGTTTCCCTTCGTGATCCCTGTTATAGTGTGATCTGATATCCTTACCTTTAACATAGGCTGAACACTGGACCGTCTGTCTGCCCAGCTGCAGCTGCAGACCCGTCACTGAGCCGCTCACGCCACATGGTGAACTGTCCTGACTGGGCACCAATCTATTGATACACAGAGAGATCTTCAATAGTTAAAACACAAATATAAATCCTTTTCGTTTTTCATATTAAAATGTCAATTGAAAGTTTGAGCAGTGGGGGATTTATTAGCCAGGACTTTGAAGACAAAGATTGCACCGGTTATAGCAGCTTTTACTGTTTAGCCTTTACCTTTTTAGAGCTGATTTGAAATCAAGATGAGAACAAAATGTCACATCCTTTTCACACTGCGCAGACACAGATCTAAAGACTGGGCTTTATTTGGCATTTTAATGTCTCTTCTTAAAGATGAAGGTGATGTGATGTCAGGTCTTTAAGGATCTGGATCTAGAAAAAAACCCGCCTTAGCAGCTTATAGACTGTCATCATTAAACCTCTCCTTACAGCTTATTTTTTCTATCCATTTCTTTTTCTATTGAATTGTCTTTACCTTCTCTTCCTATCATTTTGTCTTTATACTTCTCCTTCAGTTATTTTTAGTCTTTTTTTTCATGCTTTTGATTGTCTAAAATACTTAAAAGTATGAAAAGAGAGCAGGTAATATATGTGCTGTGAGTGTGTTTGCTACTTAAAATAAGGTGTTTCTTACCCCAGCCTCTGGCAGCAGGAGGAGGAGATGTGGTTATGTTGGCTGCCGGTGTTAATGGATGCCTTGACTTCAGTCTCGCAGCACTGTGGGGGAGACAGAGTGGGGGGGGGGATTTTGGTGTCACAGTGTGATTTTCCACTTCAGCCTGACACCGCCGTGTGTGGGGAAACAATCAGTCCCTACACACATGAACACAACTCTGGGGGAGCCTTTGAAAAACCACTGATCTCTTTTCTTTTGAATAAATCCAACCGGCTGCCACACGTTTGTGAAACTGCTAAACTGAAAAAATAAAGTCCAAAGCGACAGTTAATCAGCTTTGCACAAAACAAAACAAACCTCCCACTGGTGGAGTGTTTCCAAGCCAGCGCTTGTTTTGAGTCAGATGTTATTTTGTGGTTGTAACTTGATCTGTATTGATTCTGTGCTGGAGTTTTAAAACTCTAAATGCTGCAGGTGTATGGTTGAGCAGCCTAACACTTAATAATCAAGTTAAAAAATAAGCTAACAAGGTTATTCTGTAAATCATCACACACCACTTGAGTTGTTTTTTTTTTTTATTTTGTGCTGATCTGTTGAGATCAGTTTGCTGACTATTTCCCAACAGGATGCTGATTCTTTAGTTATTTCAGTGCACTTTGATTTTTCAGACTTAATGATCTCAAATGCATCACTACAGCATGAAAGACCGGCCATGTGACTCATACTGTATGTGCACATTTAACTGATTAGTCAGTCATACGATGCCATGTGACTCAGTTTATGAACTCAGAACTCTCAGTACGCTACAGCAGCGTGATTATTTATATCTTTAAAGTGGCTATTATCAATATTTCATAACGATAGATCAAATTATGTAATGTGAAAGTAGCTGCTCATAGTGATCAGCCCGCAGAGAATGACTCAACTGTGTAGTTACCCTCAACTCTAGGAAGCGTTTTTTGTACATCTTTCAGCTGATTGTTTTGGTTTTACAGCCCGCAGCTTTCCTGCATTGGTTCACTCTCACCACTCATTGCATTGTTTTCAACAGAAGGCAGTTAATGTCTGGAAAAAAGCTCCAAAAACCTACTGTATACTGGCTGCCCAGCACCAAAACAACAGACATACCACAGTTAGCGACTAGCACGTGAACACAGTGGATCATTTCGCAGCTAAACAGCCGGATATTTGCCTCAGGAGTTGGTAGAGACCAAAAACAGCTTAAAGAGAGTGAATATTGGGTTTATATTGTTTAGGTGACCAGACACACAACTCCAAATGAATGATAACATTGCTCCATAACTGCTGGTTGTGTGACTAGGCAACTAATGAGTTCACTGTGTACAGGTCAGTTCACAGCTTGTTTCCACCTCAAAAAATCAATTAGTGCTGGTTTAAAGCAATGGTTTGACATTTTATTTTCTTGCCTAGAGTTAAAATGAAACGACTGTCACTGTCATGTCTGTCCACGAACTAAATATGAAGCCAGTAGATAATTAGCATAGCTAAGAGCTAACTCATAGCTAAGAGTTAGCATAACTTAGACTGGAAACAGGGAAAACAATTAACCTGGCTCTGTCCAAAGTTAAAAAATACTCCTACTAACACCCCTAAAGCTCACAAATGAGCAGATTATCTATTGTTTGTTTAATCTGCACAAAAACTGAAGAGTATTTATGCTAACCTAACAGTCGCTAACTCTCATCAAAAAAGCAAATAACTGCATATTTCTTTCAGATTTTCCAGTGAGTCAAATAGATTTTTACAGTACAAACGCTAACAGGCAGATTGTCCTGGTTTCCACTGACATTTCTCTTTTTCTTCCTCTTCTGCATCTCACAGTTGCTCTGCTGCCTGCAGGGCACTGTCATGTCACAAAGACATGTTTCATCTACAGCGCAGCAGATTGTGGTGGTTTATGGGACCTCTTGTCTGTAGCGGTTCCTTTCTATTCGGCATCCTCTCACTTGATGTCATGCAACATGTACACAAGTGGGAACATGTATAATACAGGAAATAATACAGGATTTGAATGAGGAATATACTCAGGACATATGGCAGCTCTGCATGTATGTGATATAAGCAGTATGATGACACCAACGTCACACTGTTTAACCGTGTGTCAGACTATGCATAAATCTTTCCACTATAAAATGCAAATACATCTCAGCTACTTTATGGTCTTTTATCCTCATTTACTTCCCGAAAAAACTGCAGCTCCAGCAACAGGTTATTTTGTGTAGTTTAAATATATTTTTAGGAATTATAATCAATTAATTGTTAAAGTTTTTTATACAAGTTTCAGCTTCTCAAATGTGAATATTTTCAGTTATTACTGTGGTAATTGGTATGTTCCAGGTTTTGGACTGTTGGTTGGATAAAGCAAGGCGCTTGAGAACATCACTATAGGCTCTGGGAAGAGGTGATTTCCACCGTATCTATACAGCACTAATGTTATAATCAGCCAGCTTTAACTGATTCAGTGGACTTGAAAATTCAAAAAAACAAAACAAGTAACCCTCAAAATCAAATCAAAATATCTATTGGACGTATTTTTTTATATTACAGGTTAAAAACAGTAAGATAAATCAGTGTTTTTTTTGTTTTTTTTTTACTGTCCAGCACCCATCCTGGTTCCAAAGAACATATCTGTATATCTTTCTCTCCCCCGTCATCTCCTTCATAAATCAATACCTTACCCACTTGACCCGAGGATATATCCCCCCTTGGAAATAAACACGTTGAGTTTCCATGAGCCTTGTTTTGATCCCTCACACTCTGTACAGACTGAGCCCAGTCCCCTTTGTCCTCGCAGGCACACTGCCTTATCAGCAGCCCCACAAACCTGCTGCTTTGTCTGTCAGTGCACCGAAGTTTAAAAATAGCAGCCGAACGAGAAACTGAGGAACACTTTGCATTTAATAAGTTGATGATAAAACCGAGCAAAGCACAATGAGTAATGAGGGGGAAAACGCTGAATCTAATAGAATAGTGAACTACTGATTCTAAATACTCTCCCGCAGGACTCACAGGAGCTGCGCCACATACTTTAAACACCACGGGAATACGCTTTGTTTGATCACTGGATTGATTTCTTTCAAAGAATTAAGCTCCATCCTCGGTGTCATGCTTGGCTGTAATTCTCTCATATCAGAACCGTCGCCTCTATAGCCCCTGGTTACAGGTCAAGTGTTTAATATTTTCATCATCGATAACAGGCAAAAATATATTGGCAATTTTGCGCGATAAGCGACTAATCCATTATCAAAGCTGTTGTCAGTTAGTTTTCGGTTTTAAAGTCAATACAGAAATTTCATGCCTGAAACCCAGATGTGCGAGGGCAATAAACCCGCCCTCTGTATTTGTTATGTAATGTAAATGATTATATACTGCTGGTCCGTCATTCTCAGCAGATACTTCATATTGAATATCGTGTCGTTCAGCCTTAACCCCTTAAAATATTTAGCATCAGCCTTCCCTGATTGTTAGATATCGTAAATCAGTGCTTTGTGTGACCTTTCTGCATACATTAGTCATTGTTGGGTTGAGTTTGTTGGATGTGGGACCACAGGGTGCATCTCTGTGTGAAACCAGACAGCCATTAATGCCTAATGTGTTTCAGAATAATTGTAAGAAAAGACAGTTAATAGCAAGCTTGAATACTGAGTCACTGCATGCATAATGGTGCAGTTTTCTATTTTGTTTTGTCTGCTAATGGGGTTGTTTAAAATGCAACATGGGCTTTCCCTAAAATACAAATTAGTGTTCAGAGAACCACCTGCCATTTCTCTATAAATCGCAAGGTTACGGGATCGGATTGGGAATTGAAGATATCCCAAATACAAACCCCTTATTTTAATCCCTAACTCCTTAATAAAAGCTGCACATAATACCAGGTAAACCCTGACTCCTTTGTAGCTTCGTACCTCTAATACTACACAGTCGCTGGGTGCTAAGTTCGCTATAGTGTTTTCTCGGAGGAGCAGCAGTTTAATAACTTAAAAATACATCTTTGTGTTTGTTTTATGTATTTTAAAGTGAACCTCTGCATCGTCACCCATTTACCCGAAAGCAATGTCAAGATCTTTTTCACCCTACGAGCCGAACAGAAGAACGTTAATGTGAGCACCAGCTGATAGTGCTGCCGGTCACACAGTCAAGGAACCAATCGTCATCAAGGATCTGCACGAAGCTGGTGCCAGACACCCTCACCTAAGCGGTGGCCCTGAGACGCCAAGGCTAGTTTAAAAAGTAGTCTTCGCTTTATGCGAGCATTGATTCTTAAGGCTACAAGGGTCAATGTTGGGTACAAGCGTGGTAAACTAACCATAACCCCCACAACCGTCGTCCGCAGTATTTCGGGTTTCGACAAACACATGAAAAGTTGCCTCAGTTAGCTTAATGAGACTGGTAATAGAGTGTCGGTGATCTACAAGTGGGCCGTAGTGAGGAGTTATCCTTAAAGGGGAAACAGTTTTTGGCCAAAACTAGGTCCCGAGTGAGAGGATTAACTTTAGTCGGACTGGCCATCGGGCGTATCGGGGCAAATCCCATAGCGCCGCTGCATTGATGTGCCAAGTTTTTACTGGCTGATCTGAGCAGATAAGATTAACTCTCAGTTACCATATGGGTTAAACATGAGTTTTCAATAAGCTACCGTGATGCCAAATATATTCTTAGTTTTTCCCAACTCTTTTTGAGCTGAAGCCTTCACGGTTTGCCCCGTAACATGACATTTAATCTATCCGAGGTCCGTGTGTACATGGTTGTACTTTGGGTCACCGTGACTCCGTTATCTGTTTTTCTGATCCAGTCAGACAACCACTGGGTCCTGCCAAGCCTTTGCTGTGCTGTGAAAAGGAGACTAAATGAAGAGTAGGCTCTAAACGATGAGTCATGGGAGCAGATAGTGCTGTCTTTGTATCGTCTCCTCTTTTCAATTTTTGTGCAGTTGTAAAAAAAAAAAAAAAAAAAAGCACTGAATGTGGGTGATGATAGACAGGCCTGTCGCAGTACCTTGCACTGAACAACCAGAGCTGTGAGGAGGGTCGAGCCTTCCGTGCCCTCGGTCTTCTCGGCCGTCTGTCTGGCTCCGGCTTCGCTGCTGTCGTCCTCCTCGTCCGACCGTAAGCTCCTCTCACTCTCCTCCAGAGACTCCCTCTCCTCTGTGGAGTCGTCGGCCGTGCTCTCGCTCCTCTCCTCAGCGTCGGCGGCTCCGTCCTTGGTGTCGGCCAGTGGGGAGCGAACCCTGTTGCCGGGGTCCCGGGCCTCCCCTCGCAGCCGTGTGATGTTTCCCTCCAGCAGGCGGCGCTGGACGATGCTGTGAGGTTGCTAGAGAAAGGGGGAGACATGAGAGAAATGGATGTTAAGGTGGAAGGATTTTCTCAGGAAGATTGTGCAAGTGGGTGATGAAAGCTCAGATGTGGGTTCTGCCCAACAAAGGGCTTTGGTGAAAGTCGATACTGAGAAGTTCAGTGATGATGCTCGCGCAGTTGATTCAGTCATTTTTCAAGAAAATTGGTTTTACAAAAAATTGATGGTTACAGAGTCTCAAATGAGAGATTTTGCGACTTTTCTTGACCTTAAAATGAAGTGAAAATGAATCTCTTCGGCCTGTAGACTCTTGGTTAGACATTTGAAGACATGACCTTAACCAAGCAATTCTCTCTCTTACTATTCAACGTCTTCCCCCAAATGACAGACGTCTTTTCTTAGTCTCCACAGAGTGAATAAATCTGTTCAACACCACAGTGTTGAACAATGTGATGTGACAGCTGTTGCTCCCTCAGTAAATTCAATGTGTCATTCAATAGGCAGCGTGTGCTTGTCTACGCTCCTTTGCATGGTGAAAAGATAAATATTTAAAGTAGTATTATCTTAACAGACTATGTTACAGATAGCTAGTGACGCACCACGAGCTAAGACACATTTAATCCAAAAAAAAAAACCCCAAAACAAACAAGATATGTAGGTCACTGTGTTAAAGGAGCATGTCATAACTAGATCATCTGCACATTCAGTAGTTTATTAGCAAACAGACAAGCTGCTGTTCAAAATTAGCAAACCAACATATTTGCACACCTGTCAAATCCTTCTTTGCGTCTCGACTAATGACTGTATTGATCTAGAGATATGGGAGTAAGATCATTTGTTTTCATGCGTCATTAATACTCATTAGCGGTTCCCAGTCTGGCACCTGTATTATTAAAATTCGAGCCCTTGCCTTGACATTTTCAGAGACTTCTTTCCTCCTCCCACCTTCATCCTTCTTTTTCCTCCACGCAAATAACACAGCGAGATTTAAATTGCTAACTTTAACTCCAGTGGAAAAGAACAGCTTTCTAAACCATGCAGCCGAAAATGAAGGTCACATTATCATGTAATGAAAAGACGATTCAAAGGGCTGTGTTCATACTTTCAGGTCATCACTGTCAGAAGGAGACCAAGAAAAAGAAGAAGAAGAAGAAGAAGAAGAAGGATTTCTGCAATGGTTTTGTTTTTGCTTCATGAGCCTTGTGGCAGTGTGTTTTTGCTAACACACACACTTCGAGGGTCACCTGGGTTTTTTCATTCGACAGTTTCACACCCTGGAGACTCAATACACAAAGCACTTTAAAAAGACAATGTGTTGACAAAGTGTTTTTGTTATGGCTTCAGAAACGATATCTCTTTTCTCACGTACAACGCGAATGTTACAATTCTGCTGTAGATATTTAATACTTGTATGTCTGGATTAAACATGTTGTTTCAAAACAACATGTGGCCAGTGAGTGGCTGTTCCTCTCTGGATCATACAAACAGTAAATTGCATTTAAGCCGTCTGTTTCTCCATAATCACATTGCTGTTCTGCCAGTACAGAGTCTGAGTTCAGACAGCTTGAGACAGCAGGTCACCCGACACCAGCCGAGTCTCTGCTTTAATAAAACACAAAGCATTTGCTTTCCTTTCAAGGTTCCTCTGACTCTAAAATCACCAGGATATTAAAAGATGTTCACGTGAACAAACAAGCGTCATGAAATAACAAAGAAAAAAACAACTGATCCGTCATTATACTGAGTGTGAAAGGAGGTTTCAGGAATCAAAAGTCATGGCATCAAATATCTTTATTGGTTTTGAATATAAGCTTCCAAACTAAATGTAAATATACTCAATTCTGTCGTTTCAGTCTTTGATTTTATCACATGATGATGAGGTTTAATGTCCTTCTCATTTAGCCACTTGTTAGCAACCACCCTTTTCTAAGCTTGTGTTAACCACTGACCTTATTTCAGCCATCCAACCAAAAACCCACTCAAAACTGACAGTGACTTTGGGACGAGGGAACTCATTTCCGGGTTTTACGACACTCCATTGCAACGGCTTTACTGGAGCCGATTCCTTTGTCTTTTTACCAAACGTCATGGAAAACTCTCCTCTGGAGCCGCACTCACCGCACCAGCCTACACCGGTATCTGGAGAGCCAGTTTAAGTATCTTGGGCAAATGCCAGTCTCATAAAGGACATCCCCATCTGCTTACCGCTTGTTTTCCTCCCCTAATACAATCACCAGGCTGCTGCGCCTGTAGTCTCACACTTTTATAGAAATTGGTTTGTTTACCTACTTCACAATGTTCACGTCGGAGCAAACGACCCTTTAAACGTCGCCGTTGACGCCGCTGTTACTGTACGTGATGGCAAGAGCTCCCTTCATGGTCGATCTGTGCAGCGTGTGTCACATGTCACATGACCTCTGAGCCCCCCCCCCCGTCGACCCATGCAGCGGGACGTTATGGGCCATCATGTGGGAGATCCCTCGCTTATAGTGCGGAGATATTTTAGAGAGAGCGCTGTGAGTCAGAGTCCCTGGACGTGCGATGTGTTTTTCAGATGACACATTACTGGACGATGGCGTCGTGCGCTATCATCATCATCCAGAACAAAAAGTGGCAGATTACAAAAGCTGACCTTCTTCTGTCTACGAGGGGAACTCCGTCCAGTAGCTGCGATCGTCTGTCTCTGACCCCCAGACCAAAACGGGACAGAAAAGATCGACCCTGCTCTTCTATCACCTGTTGTGTGTGTGTGGTTTTTGTTTTTTTGTTGGTTTTTTTTCCACATTATTGGTCATTATCTGATGTTCTGCTCTGATTAACATGCGCACAGCAATGCGAGGTTCTGCTGTTAAAAAAATATATAATAATAATAATTCCTGAGCTGAATTTGAAAGAAGTGGAGGAGGATTTCATGGACCGGTAAGCAAGAGGAAGACAGAGAGAGAGAGAGAGAGAGAGAGAAATAAGTAAGGAAAAGGAATCAGGGCCCCAAGAGAACGAGGCGGTATAACCTTACGATGGATGTGATAATTTCATCTCATGCCTGGTCACGTCTGAGAGTCGGTGGCCTTGCTCTGCGTTATCTGTCACGTGCTTCAGGAGCGTTTTATTGTCACACTTCCATCTGTGGATTTGAAGCTCAATCCGACACCTCTACAGATTTTTTTTTTTTATCTGCCCCCGAGGTCAAAGGGAGAATTTATAAATCAAACATCCTACTGTAAAATAAAGAGAGCAGGTTTCTGTAGTCGACTGATTTCTTTTCCTTTAATTTCTTTCTCTTCTTTTCTTTTCCTCTCCTCTACCAATTTCCTACAATTATCTTTTCTCTCCTTTCCCTTTCCTTAATTTCCTTTCCTTTCCTTCTTTCCTCCCATTCCCTTTTATTTATTTTGTTTGACATTCTTTCCTTTCCTCCTCTCATTTCCTTCCATTATATTTGGTTCCTTTCCTAATTTCCTCCATTTCCTTTCATTCTTTTTTCTTTTGTTGCTTCTCCTCCCTTTCCTTTCCTTTCCTTTCCTTTCCTTTCCTTTCCTTTCCTTTCCTTTCCTTTCCTTCCTGCTCCTATCCTTCTTTCCTTTCCTTTCCCTCTATTACCACCTGTTCTCTTTCCTTTCATAATTTCCTTTCCCGTCCTCTCCTATTGCTCCTATTGTGTCCGATTGTCTTCCATTTTCCATTTATCTCCTTTTCTTTCCTCATATACATCCTTTTCATTTTTCCTCTCCTTGTTGCTCCTCTTCTCCCTTTCTTCCATTGCTTTTCATTTCTTCCTTTTCTTTCCTCTCCATCATCCACTCTCCTCTCTTCCCTTATCCCTCCTCTCCTCCTCTCTCCATCTGTCTTTCCATTGCAATCAATAAAAGTCAATATTCCTTCCATTGATTCCATCAAACCAACCGAAACCCTGAGCCTTAGATAAGTGACGCTAATCTCCTCCTCCTCCGTCCTCTCTGCAGGAGCCTCCTAAAACAGGAGCTTCCACATCGAGCTTCTCCACATTCGAACTAATCAAATTCAATCAGGAGATCTACTTTGGGCTCAAGTGCTTTTTCTATTGTTGTGTTCTTGACTTTAGCCTCTTCCTGCGGCCTGTCAGGCCTGTCGTCAGCCCATCCGTTTCCCGCCTCAGCACTCACTGGATTTATTAACGGCAATTATGCTCTTACAAATATGCTGCTCGTCAAAGAGGATGCAAACAGGGGGCAGATCAAGGTTTATTTGCATATAGCGTGTGAATCAGCAAAAGCATGGAAAATGTAATTTTAATACAACCTCTTATCAGGTCTGGTTTCATACCACACTGTTTTTATTCAGCAGGCAAAGGATATGATGGCGGGAAATTATGTCAAGCTCTAATAATTTGGAGAGGAGGCGGGAGGGAATCCTGAGAGTTTGATTATAGGGCTCTTATATTGAGAGATGTTTTTCTCATCAGACTGCAGGGAAGTAAAATCTGATAGGCAATGATCACGATGTAATTCAGCCTCGTGCCTCTCTCCCTGCGAACCTCTGATGGTTGGCGTCTGTTTCTGCCGAGCCCCGGCCGCTCCGGGGTCGGCTGCAGAGCCAATCACTTTGGAGCAACAGCAAAGCTGCAAGCAGGCGGCACTTGGTGTTGCAACGCGTGCCCCCGATAATCTTGCACTTGATCTTTGAATGCATCTTAATATAGTGCAGAGATTTTTCAAACTGTGAGGAGGGGGTGTTGAAGTGTGTGTGTGTGTGTGGGGGGGGGTATTGTGCAGTATTGCTGCAATTTGCATCATAACTTAGTCAAATCTGAAGACCTACACCTGACACATTCGTTAAACGTCCATACTTCCAACTTTTTTACTGCAGAACTTGAGCTTGAGAATCATCAGGTTTTTACAGTATCACAGTAAAACCGGTGAGAGTTGTCGGTGCGTCCATGTGTGCGTTGCAAACGGGAACTGCTAGTAGCTAATTCAGCGCATGTTTAATGGTGCTAATGGGAAAAATATAAACAAATATATTGCCTTACAAAGCTGTAC